TCTTGCTAATGTTTTTTTATTATTATTATTTTCCATTGGTTTATTTATTGAATCTTTATAGAAATTGACAAAAATTGTAAATCTTGTAAATGACAGTACAAATGAATTAGAATTACGAAGTTTATATGACATCCATTTCATAGAATAGATATCCCATGAGTTGCTTTCAGTATAATGAGCTCGCTGTATATAGTAATGTATCCTTAGCGATGTAGTATAATATATCGCTAAACAAACATATCTAGTTGTCTTTTTCTATATAATTTGGGTTATATCTTTATTGCATACATACAACATCGGTACAAATGGACGCAATCTTATTTAAAGGCTTGGGCCTAATGCGAAGTAAAATAACTAACACCGTTAGTTGTTATAAGAAGTGAGTCTATATTAATTGGGTCTAATATTTCGTCATCCTAGAATGCAAATCATACAAATTTGAATGGATTTAAATTATTTATATGGTCATTTGATATTTATATTTATTTATAGTGTCTGGTATATGGATTGCAAAGCTTAAATAATCAAATTAGGTGTGACTTGTGAAACCTATAATATAAAAGAAAGGTGTGTATATTCTTATTTTTTATTTATAGTAGATACCGAAAAAGTCTTAAATAAACATTATCTCTTAAAAATCTATATTGTTAACAAGTAACAATGCATTATGCTAATAATTTGATAATATAATACTTTAATCAATAGATGTGCAAAATGGAAAAATACTCAACAAATTTTAATTTGATTTGATTTTTTTTGGAAAAGAGTCAAATAAGGGCATAAAAATTTATTTATACTTTACTAAATTGAAATATTTTGTTTCAGTTTAAAATAGTGATTGTTTAGTCAATAATGATTTTTATATTCAAATAGAAGTTCTTAACAGTTTCTTTTTTAAACTCTAAACCAAAGGATACCATTCATTTAAATCTAATTAAATATCAGCTACACTCTTTAATACTCGTAGTAAAATACAATGTATGCATTTACATATATATATTTTCTTATAATAAAATTTTATTAAATTAAAAATTCATTTAAATTCAATTGGATTGTCCAAAATATCCCGAAGTCTCTTTAATAACTTTCGTTCCCTGCAATTTTAAATTAAAAATATACTTAAGAAATAGTTTTAACTCAAGTAATTCTAGTTAAAAAAATCACAATACATACTGTATTTACATCAAAGAATCCCTTACTTGGTATTCTTCGATTTACATGTATGGTATATATTTATTTACCTATATTCAAAATTTATGTAAAAGTTTTAAATTAAAAATATTTTTACAATAAAATATAAGTTATATACAGTTTCAACTTTTTACAAATATTAAAATTTACCAAAATCCTTTCGCTTTTCTAAAGCTGATTATTTGATTATAATGATTAAACACTAACTTTGCTGTTATTTAGTCACGTACTCAAAAATCAAATTTGTAGAATTTATCCTCGAACCACAATGAACTTGTGTTTAGAAATAAGATAACATTTCAGGGCCCTATTGCACCAACACTTTCACTTTGCACTTTGCAAAACTTATGAGTGCCTTTTTTTTTGCAAAGTAAAAGTGAAAAGCGTTGCACCAAAGACTTAAGATAATTTATTATGCACTTTGCAAATAAAGATTTTATTGCAGAGTTTTCACATAAAATGCAAAGTAAAGCGTTGTTTGTTTGATATTTTGATGCTATGAATACATGATTTATGCAGGTCATCTGAAACCAAAAGAGGCGGCGTTAGGTATTGGTAACATTTATTTGCAACTTATTTTTTAAGTTTTATTTTATGTTCTATTTCAGCTGGAATAGATACAAGGAACAAGAAAAAAGCTGAATCAAAAGTAGATAAATGTAAGTCTGATGATGATTCTCAAGTGGAAAAGATTAATTCAAAAAACAACAAAGGTGAACAAGCATGTCTTAATTGGATGTTAGATTTGAAATTCAAAAACGAACAAGTGCGTCTCTAAATACCAGAGAATCCACTTTTATGGATGTGCAACGAGTGAAGCATTGGTTCCAATGGGCTGTCCGTCAGTTTAACTTGGTTGGAAATTTAATACCTATAAATATTTACTTTATACACATATAATAAATTATTTCTTAAAACATATTAAGAGCGGTTTTAAGATGTCTGAGTGGATGTTAGAAATTAAAGAGGTATGCAAGTTAACACATGAAGAATTTTGTACTAAAATATTGAAAGATCCTGGCAATATTTCCTAGATGCATATACAATTGTTGAAAGAATGTAAACTCGTTGCAATGGTGTATCTGCTAGCAATCGGCCTAAAGGAGTTAAAAATTATGCGAAAGACTTCAACATTATTTCAACCCAAAACAAACAGTAAGTTAAGATTTATTTAACCTAATATATCGAAAGAACAAAATTAGTTTTAAAGAAGGAGACTATAATAAAGATTTTTTAACAACATGTTAATTTCAATTTAATACTTTGCTATAATTAAATGTTAGGTAAAAAAAAATAACATGCTAAATTTTAATGAATTGATCATTAGAACCCCGATCATTAACCTTATTCAGATCTACAGAGACAGTAGAAACCATTCAATCTACTTTGTCAGCGTGTATTGTTAAATATAATCAACAAAACTTTTGTACTATAAAGTTAAGATTAATTTAATATAATAAAAATTTGTTCGAAAGCTGTAGCTTTTCTTTTAATTAAAGTCAATTTTTAATAAGATTACTACTAGAAATAGTAAGATTTACATTATCTCTAGCTAGGAGTTTTTGTAAGAGGTTTATTAGTTTACAATGCCAGGTCTGTTATAATTTTAGGTATAATCATTTTGTGTTGTAATCTTAGATGAAAATTCCGAATTTATTGAGAACTGGCTTACTTCCTTTACAATGTTCTGAAAACCATATCTTAGTTAATTATATGCTTAGTTAGATTATGTGTAACTATATCGACGCACACTTTTCTTAAACCAGTAGTTACTTTACAGTTTCTTTAAGTACTAGTTACCTTAAATATCTGTGTATTTACTATCTATACAATATATAGTTTTTAATTTATACTTAGTTGGCTTGTGGCATAAATAAATATGTGTCCAACGAATATAGATCTTACTTTTAATTGTTTTTATCATGAATTTCAAACGACCTGCTTTTGATTTCTTTTTGAGAGCGATGTGCAGCACTCGGTCAATTGAAAATATAAATAGTTCCGGGTTGTTTACCTAAATATTGCATATTTGAATAAATATCAAACTATGTACTTTCAAATTATGTTTTGAAGACGATCTCGGAATCATAGGGATAATTTAATAAAAATATAAAAGGATATAAATATAATTATTTTTAAAAATATATTAAATGATAATTGACAATTTACAGTTTTTTTTTCTTATTCACTTATCAGAACTTATGACATGCTCTTCGTTTAAATAAAATCATAATCAACATTTCAATAAAATCACTAATATTATATATGTCTACATATCGATTAAAGATGTTCAAACATTCTTCTTATAGTATCGCAATAGATTTTTATTAAAGAGCATTCAGATTGATGTTTATCTTAATGTAATTAAAATACAATTTTCACTTTAATATTTTCAGATGTAGACCATATAAACAATTCAACTTTGCAAAAGAAGGCAATTGTTGCATACTTTGGTTCATTCCGGAAAAAGTGAACTGATCTTAAGTGAATTGAACTGATAAATATTATACAATCGGTGAGACTGAAGATGAATTGGAACTTATCAATTCGGAACGTATAACACTTTTATGGGGCGACCACAAAAATAAATCTTCCATGAAATACATTGTGATTATAATGTGGTTATATGTTATCAAAAATTAACGGAAATTAGTTTTATTATAAGTTTGATTATGACTTAAAATAATATCTGAGCTATAATGCATCAGAGCAGCCTACACTGATAAATAAAAGCACCTCACCTTCAATACTTCTTCATAAATTAATTGAAAATGTCTAAGATGATGATGTAATAATAAAAGAAGAGTCGTATTATTTTCTAAAAAAGAAAACAATGTTGGAAAATACTTAGTAATGTTAACGTTTAAGTTCATTTTTATAGCTTAAAATATTGTTTAAAATAATTTGAAATGTTTTTGACGCCATTCCGATTTCCCGAGAACGCTAATTTAACAACAAATATTTTTGAAGCCTTATTTATTTATAACATAATGGAAATGGTTACTCAATTATTTAATTATTATAGTAATTACCATAAAATATTATATATCAAAATATGTCATTTATTTGATGAAATACTCACTTGTATATATATATATATATATTTTATTCACTTAATTTCAGTTTTAAATTCTATTTTAAATAAATAAATATTATTATATAATGCTTCTAATTACACTTGTTAATTTATCACTAACACACCACACTCGGTACTCACTTATAAGACGCTGCAAATTACTTAAAGATAACTTTAAAATATTCTAATTTATTTCAATAACAAGTTCTTTTATTTCTTTTCTTTATATAATATTGTTATAATTCACTTAATTCATATACGAATTTTTTTCACTTTCATTTTCCCCGCAATCATTTTGCTTGTTGAACACTTGGATTTGGATTAAGATTAAGATTCAGATTCAGTGTGAGATTTGAATTCACTAAAACCACCTCTTAGGAATGAATGGAGAAAATTTTCACACCATTGTGTGGAAACTTCAAACTGCAATATCTAACAGTCCGCAAATTACTCATATACGTCAGTTCTATTTATCTTATTCTATAAAAAAATTGAATGAGAATTATAATTAAGCCCGTAAGAAGCTAGTCCACATATATACTGCTAATGTAACAAAGAAATTGAGAATTATAATAATAAATATTTTGTACTTTGTTAAACTGATCATTTTAATTATAAATTATACTCGACAGACATCAATCGATCAGGCAAATAATAAATTTTATTTTTTTATAATTTTAGAAAAATACCAACACATATATATGTAAATTTATCTCTTTAAGTGTAAGATTATTTGGGTCCTGAAAAGGACCATTGGGCAATATATTATTGCATTATTAAATCAATAATTGATTATTTGCTTAACCTCCAAAACCGTATAAGGTACGGCCTTGTATCTTTAAAGCATATACGACATCCATGGCTGTAACAGTCTTCCTTTTGGCATGTTCTGTATATGTAACAGCATCACGGATCACATTTTCCAAAAATACTTTCAATACTCCCCGAGTTTCTTCATAAATCAAACCAGAAATACGCTTAACTCCGCCTCGGCGAGCTAAACGTCTGATAGCTGGTTTCGTAATACCTTGGATGTTATCACGAAGAACTTTGCGGTGACGCTTAGCACCACCTTTTCCTAATCCTTTGCCACCTTTACCACGACCAGTCATTTTGTATTTAAATTTTTATAGATATGGTAGAACCGTTCGAATTCAAATTCAAACAATAAATGAAGTGACGAGGATGATTGACGACTATTTATAGAAAATATAAGCACTACGAAAGATATGAAAAATATTGGGTAAAACAAAACAAAACAAAAAGAATAAGCAATATGAGAAACAATGAATGTTAAAACATGTGAATAGTTGAAACAGAACATCCAGGTATGATGAGAAAATTGAGCAGCAAACCATCAATCCAATGTTATAAGAAAACTGGTTCGCGAATTCAAAAACCATAAATGGAACGAATTTCTAACGAGCTTTGAAACTGGTGATAAAGCCTTCTGGAATATCAGCAAATATTTCAGACTGAAAAACAAGATTCAAATTCCACCAATACACGGTCCCAATGGGCTCAAATTCGCTGATGAGGATAAAGCCGAAGAATTTGCAAACTCCCTCGAGTCACAATTCTTAGATAACCATGACATTTCTGATGATGTAGACGAAGAAGAATTAATTGGAGAAAGAGCGGCAGCCATTTTGAGCAGAATCCCTGATTCACCTATCTCGCCGTGCAGCGTCGAAGAACTGCAAGCCATTATCTACTCTATCAAAACAAAATCGGCTCCAGGTGCTGATAAAATTAGTAACCGCTGTATGAAAAATCTGCCTGTAGCATCAATCATCATAATTAATAATATAATCAATGCCATGCTACAGTTAGGTAAATTTCCAGATAAATGGAAAGAAGCATTAGTAATTGTGCTCCCGAAACCCAACAAGAACCACACATTCCCGCAAAACTGGCGACCTATCAGCCTACTTCCAGTAATGGGGAAACTAGCTGAAAGAGTCATTCTAAATAGACTGCAGACCGAAACAAATCGCCTAAAACTTATACCGGACGAACAATTCGGCTTCAAAGCCAACCATTCGACCGATCTACAACTGGCAAGAGTGACACAATACATCCAATCTGCACTTAGAGAAAATAAATCGATGGGCATGATAATATTTGATGTTGAGAAAGCGTTTGATAAAGTTTGGCACGATGGCCTCATCTCTAAAATGTACGACCTAAATCTACCTCTCAACATCATCAAAATCATTGGTAGCTTCATGCATAAAAGACAATTCAGAGTCAAAATCAATAATCATCTATCAACCCCCAGATTTATTGAAGCAGGGGTGCCTCAAGGCTCTCCATTGTCTCCAGCCCTATACAATCTCTTCACTTCCGACATTCCAAAGCTAGAACCATCTAAACTAGCCCTATATGCAGATGATACCTGTATATTCTATGCTGATAAAAATACTTTAAACGTCAGTAACACATTACAGGAACATGTTGACTGTGTCACTTCTTACTTCCAAAAATGGAAAATTAAAATTAATAACGATAAAACGAAGGCAATTTTCATAACCAGAAAACGGTGGCAATATCCACCAAAATTAAAAGTAAATGACACCGATATAGACTGGGAAGACCACATCAAATACCTGGGGATTACATTTGACAAGAAATTCCAATGGAGCACGCACATATACAATCTAAGAAATAAAATCAACACAATGCTAAACCATTTACGACCGCTCTACAAAAACAAGGCTCTAAGTATCAAAAATAAAAAGTTGCTTTATACCCAAATAATGCGTCCGGCGCTATCATATGGCTTCATTGCTTTCTCCAAAACTTCAAAAACTAACTTCAATAAACTTCAAACATGTCAAAATATAGCCATTAAAAAAATATTTAACATTCCCTGGTACATAAGAAATGTCGATATTCAAAGGGATCTAAAAATCACACCTATCAAACTATACATTAAAGACAGAGCTCTCAAATTATTCAAATCAATAGATGCACATGACAACACTTTATTGCAAAATCTACACCAACAACCTATTCACACTACAGGAAGATACGCGGACATCCGTACCATTATTAACTAAACTAAACAATAAAATTAATTGAGCACTCGTCATTTACCCAGTGGACATACTCTAGAAATGTCTACCACTATAATTGAGTCAAGGTATTAACTTTTACCGACTCGAACTCAATTTTCAACAACAAGACATTAAAAAAAATAGATCCAATTTTTATAAATCTCAACTACTAGAAACTCAACTCAACTATGTCTGGTCGCGGTAAAGGTGGTAAAGTTAAAGGCAAGGCAAAGTCACGATCAAATCGTGCTGGATTACAATTTCCAGTTGGTCGTATTCATCGATTATTGCGTAAAGGCAATTATGCTGAACGCGTTGGTGCAGGTGCTCCAGTCTACTTAGCTGCCGTTATGGAATATTTGGCTGCTGAAGTTCTTGAATTGGCTGGCAATGCAGCACGCGATAATAAGAAGACAAGAATCATTCCTCGTCATTTACAGTTGGCCATACGTAATGATGAAGAATTGAACAAATTATTGTCTGGTGTTACAATTGCACAAGGTGGTGTACTACCAAACATTCAGGCTGTACTTTTGCCAAAGAAAACAGAAAAGAAGGCTTAAATTATTTTATTTTATTTATTAAAATACGAATACATATACGTGGAGAATTAACTATCAATTAATCCGTCCTTTTCAGGACGACAAAATTTATTTTATTAAAGAAAATGTATTTCATTAAATCAATTGATATAAATATTGTACATACTATCATACCTACCCTACTAACTTACACAAGCCATACTTTAAAACACTTAACAATCAATCATTTCTTGCCTCGCCCTTCTGTTCCGTTACATTCCTGGAAGACCTTCATGAAATCGAAATCTTCGAAAATTGTAAATCAGCCTACATAACAGATAAAATACATAGCATTGTTAGTGTATAACTTAACACTGCGTTTTGCTACATAGTAATAATTTTTTTTTTTGTTTTTGGGCAGCAGGTATCAACCAGTTTTTATACATACGAGTGTGTATGCGTTCCAATTGACTTCCTAGAAAGCAGGTTCGCTGTGCCACTATTTTTTAAGAATGCAAGTTTATTATTCAGGGTTAGATAATTGAAGTGTTACCTATTCAAGCGATCACATTATTTTTTTATTGATTCAAATTACAAAAATTTGTGAAAATAATTAAAATTTCACAATCCATTCACTCTAGCTTGATGTGGCCACCTTTTGTCTTGACTATGGCTGTGATCTTCCAGTATTTTGGCCTATTCCTGAATAAAAGCTTTCTTCAGCGTATCGAAACTGGCTTATTTTTTAGTTCTCAACTTGCTCTCCAAATTGGCCCAGCGTAGCAACTCCTTTGCTCATTCGAGTCTAACTTTTTGTTGCTTTGGTGCAAGATCTTTTGCCTTGGAACTTTTAAAGCTTTACCTTGAGCTTATTTTGGAAAATGCGTCAGATGCTTCGTTCAGATATTATCGGTTCTTTGGCCATTTGATTAGTACTACGACGTGGATTTCGTTTAAGTCGAGCCTTCACTTTCCGAACCATTTTAGGCAATGTTGCTGTTTTTTTTTTGTCCACCACTATAGCATTTGGTGACTCTGCCTGAGCTATTATAACGATTTAAGGTACGATACACAAACATTTTATTCACATTGAGATATTTGAGCTCAAGCACAATAGCTAGTTGTAATTTTCCAACCAAATATAATGCAATCACACTTATTTTTTAATTCCATTTCGAATAATATTAGTTCTATAAAACTTAGACGCAAATGCTTGTGGTAACTTGTAAACAATATAAATAGCTGTCATTCATATGAATTTGACGTAGTTGGCAATATCAGTTTGACAAACATATCGCTGTGTAATTTGTAACACTTCAATCGCCTAACCCTATATATTATTAAGAATCTTTTAATATTTATCATAGATTCGCGTATCAATAAATAGATACATAAATCTTCGCAGGTAGTATAATCTAAGTTACAATAATATTAATATTATATTTGTTACTAATAAAAATGTACAAAACAAATAACGTTGCCAGGCCAATAGCATAAAGTTTCATAATTACCTTTTTGAAATCAAGAACCTAATAATTTTGTGCCAAATATTTGTATTTATTATTAAATAAATGTGATACAATTATTAAAAAACATTAATATTCATAATATAAAGAAGGAAACATATAAAAAATAATTATTTTTCTTTTAAAAGTTTTAAAATTTATTTATTTATTTACTAAACATCTTATAAAATTTTCAAAATGGTAACACCTAATTTATCTCATTAGAAATTCTGGTATGTACCAACAATCGCTGCCATACCGACATAATTGACTATTTCCCCTAAATATACTCGAACTCGCACACGGCCTAAATGTTTACTATTATTATCATAGTTACTATTTCAATATTTTGGTATTGTAATATTTATTATTATAGATAAATTATTTAAAGGTAGAGTTTTTAAAATTTGTATCTGAATTAGTTTTATAAAATATTCTATATTTTATAAAAGATTTATGGCAGTAGATGGAAAACATCCAAAGCCACTGTGTGAGTCTTGAACCTACTAAAACTAGCTCTTAGGAATGACTATGGAAGATTGCAGCCGCAAGTTTATATATATACTTCAGTATCTATTTAAATGTTATCCATATCCATGTTAGTTTATAAAAAAATTCATCTTAAATTTTAACATTTTATGTCGTATATCACTCCTTATAAAAATGTTAGAATACGCACATTTAATTTTAATTTTATTTTAATTATAAAGTAATAAAAAGAACATTTTTTTTAAATATACATATTTAATAAAATACTTATAATAGTCAAAGTTAAATAATTAAATTATAATTATAAAAGAAAAAGTAAAATGATTTCATTCTTATATATTTTTAATCATGTATGTAGATATAATTTTTTTTTATGAATTCTATTAAGTAGGATACGTACAGTTGTTATTCGAATGATATTGAAAACTATAAATTTAATTGCTGATATGTTATTAATAACGTTTATATATAATAATTTTTCACATGATTAAAAATTATTTAAAACTTGTAATAAAATTTTAAAAATAATACGTATAGAAAATCTTAAAACATATCTTAAAGTAAACGAATTCAA